GCGGCTCATAGTCACCCTGACCGCTTCAGTCAGAGTCCCTGGAGGTGGACCCAGGCATTGGGATTTTTTTTTTTTAATCTTTATTTATTCTTGAGAGACAGACAGACAGAGCACGAGCGGGGGAGGAACAGAGAGAGATGGAGACACAGAATCCGAAGCAGGCTCCAGGCTCTGAGCTGTCAGCCCAGAGGCCAGCACGGGGCTCGAACTCACGAGCCGTGAGATCATGACCTGAACCAAAGTCAGATGCTTAACCGACTGAGCCACCCAGATGCCCTCAGGCATTGGGACTTTTTTAAAAAGCTTCCCATACCCCAAATGTGGACATGATTGAACACACAGATTCTAATATGCAATATGAACCACTGCTCTAAGGCAGTCTCCAGTTCTAAAGATTGTTAGAAAACATTTAAATAAAGTGAATATTTTTATCTCTATAGTTCCTTCTATCTATTATCTAGTAGGAATAAGAACCTAGCGGGAGAAGTACGTAGTACCTAGCAGAGGTGCCTAGTACCTTGTGAAAGAATTGTCCAGTACCTTGTGGGAGAAGTCCTTAGTACCTTGTGGGAGAAGTACCTAGTATCTTGTGGGGGAGAAGTACCTAGTATCTTGTGGGAGAAGTACCTAGTACCTTGTGGGAGAAGTACTTAGTATCTTGTGGGAGAAGTACCTAGTATCTTGTGGGAGAAGTACTTAGTACCTTGTGGGAGAAGTACCTAGTATCTTGTGGGAGAAGTACCTAGTATCTTGTGGGAGAAGTATCTAATATCTTGTGGGAGAAGTACTTAGTACCTTGTGGGAGAAGTACCTAGGACCTTGTGGGAGAAGTACCTAGGACCTTGTGGGAGAAGGACTTAGTACCTTGTGGGAGAAGTACCTAGGACCTTGTGGGAGAAGTACCTAGGACCTTGTGGGAGAAGGACTTAGTATCTTGTGGGAGAAGTACTTAGTATCTTGTGGGAGAAGTACCTAGTACCTTGTGGGAGAAGTACCTGGCATCCAGAAGGAGAAGAAGGGGTGAACAATGGTACCTCTAGCTCCAACACCTCCTACAAGCCTGGAGTCTGTAGACCTTCACCATGTAATCCTCACCCCAGCTCTTCTAAGTAGGCCCACCATTCCAGCAGAATTCACATGAAGTTGGACACACTGAGGTTCACCTGGTAGCTAAAAGTAGAACCAGGATTCGAATGCAGGCCTGCTGGGCCCCCAAGTTCAATTTCTTTGCTTCTCACCTGGATAGCATCTAGTGGGTCGGATGCTTCAGCCCCCCTCTAGCCCCTATGATAGCAGGTAAGATCCCTTCCTTCTCTGAGGCCGTGGATGATAGGATCCATTATAACTGCACCCTCCAGATTGCCTTGGGAACCCCAGAGGTCAAGAGTGCTTTCCTTCTGGTTCACAGGACCACCAGTGTTCCCCCAATTCTCCCAGTGTCGGCCTCCAAATGAATCCCCCAGCCTGCCCCGCACAGAAGCACCAAAGCATTTTTTTAAATCTGTATCCTGATTTCAAGCTTGGGAAGAACAGTCCCCATAACCACGGCTGCCTCTGAACTGTCATTTTTCAGAATCCCTCCAAGAACCTGGGACTGTGATTCGCAAGTCACAGCCCTGTGGGTATTAGCAGTGCGTTCTGACTGTTCCTCTCAGGTTGTCCTGTTCTCTTCAGCGGGGTGACAGCATGAAGGGGCATGGAAGCTCGAGGAGGAAATGTAACAGGTCTCTGGGTGTCCATTAAAAGCCAATTATGCAGAAACCGCACAAGAAGACGGGCTCAGCAGAAGCACGATGGTGTACGTGCAAGGGTTTTGAGTCACAGGAAAGGCCATGTGCGTCAACAGTCTGATCTGACTTCCCTCTCGCCCCACGCACACCTGATGTGACCCTAGGACATATTCCTGTCGGTGGTCCCGTTCTGCTGAAAGTCGGGTCCGTCTGGGAATCGTGGTCGATCCTGAGTATTGGCTTAGAGAAGGCGTTGAGCCGATTGGAAGGTGTTGGGAAGATGGCAGCCAGCACCGGAGAGGGACCTGAATTCATGTATGACGACGAAAAGAAACAAAGCGAGGGCAGTCTGCATAACTTGGAGCGGACTCAGGAGAGAGCGGCAGCTGCCTTCTTTACGGCCTCCAGGGCTGCCTCCCGTGTGTCAGGCCAGGCCAGGCCGGGCTATGCTGCAGTCACGCAATAAGCCACATAGGTTGCAGCGGCTTAATAACTACCATAGTTTGTCTCTCACTCTGCTGAAGTGCAATGCGGATGGTGAGTTCGCTTCAATTTTGTGGTAACACCATCTGGGACACGGAGCCTTGGTGACAGCTGCCATGAGGGCAGAGAGAGAGGGAGGCGGGTATCAGCTTCAGGTCGCCTCAGCCTGGATGTGACAGAGCCATATGACCGGTGAAGCCAAAAACATTTACTATCTGGCATTTAGAGGACAAAGTTTGCCAGTCTGACATAGAAAATCAGCTGGCTTCTGAAATCTTTCCTTTTCTTTATTCAACGTGATTTCTGTAACACCATATGGCAAATACTGTTTTAAGTGTTTTACAAATATAAATTCCTTGAATCCTGATAATAACTCCGTGAGGGGGATATTATTATCCCCATCTCTCAGATCAGCAGATTGATGTCTAGAGGTGCTACATGAGTTGCAGTAAGGGTGTGGTCAGCCCAGGGTTCAAAACCAGGCGCTGGGATTCCAGAATCCTTGCTCTAACCACTGCCCTCTGCATGCCGTGAAAGCTCGCTGCGAAAACCCAGGCTTGAGGTGCTTGGGGGTGACGAGAGGTTGGAATGCATAGGACTCATCAGCTCACAGGGAAGCAGTGCTGGAAAAGGCTCAGAGAGCACTGGAGCCAACGCTCTCCTGTATCAGAGGACGGCTAGGCTTCTGGGGAAACTGAGGCCCAGGAAGCTTTCCCAGCAAGCTCCGGTGGCCCTAGCAGGCTAAAGGCCAGTGAGAGGTGGCCGGACCAAAGCTCCTAGATGACAACAACAAAGGCGTTTTCATTATGGAAACCGCAGGACAGACCCAAAAGGAGAGAGAACAGTTTTGTGGAACCCCTACGCCCCTTCCCCCAGGTGAATAATTGGCGACGTTTGGCCAATCTCATTTCACCTATCACCTGCCAACGATTTCAGAGTGGGGAGCGGACTTTCTAAAATAAATCCCGGACATCCTGTTATGTTACACACGAATACCCTAGTGTCCAAATTCATTTTGGTGGAGGATTCGGGAGAGAAAGTGAGGCGTAGAGCAGTCCTCTGGGGCAGAGCCGGTCCCTGGGACCGGGGAGGGCACTGCTGTTTTCCACGACTGTCAGAGGAAGGTTTGCACACACCCATTCCTCCCTGGCCCTTGATTCCCTCCCCTGTGAGTAATGCCAGTGCCTGACAGACTCAGGGCTCCCGGTGGGGGGGAGAAAAGCACCTCGTGGAACGCTGTCTGCAACCAAGACGAAAAAAAAGCATCTCGAGTGGATCCCTTCTTCACAACCATCCTCCCTTTCCAAGAGCAGCCCCTGCCCGTGTGGGGCCTCTGTGCCCTGCTGGGTGGGTGTCCACGTCAGCTGAGTCACGAGTATCGCCCCTATTATCTTATTTACCCGAGTTTGTCATTTTCCAGCAACGTGAGTCACCCCTTGAAAGGGAAACAGAGAGCCTGGGGAGATGAGCCTCTGGTCAAACCCTCACAGCCCCTCCTCTGGAAGCTGAATCTTCCCCTTTGAACTCTCATCTGAGCACCCAAAAGCGGGGTGGGGGGGAGAGGAGGTGTGGCCAGTCGAGGGGCGTTTGGCCTCTTAGAAGGGCCGCTGGGCAGATGGTGTCAGACTTGGGTGGGGGGGCGGCTAGGTGGCCTTGTGTAATTCTGGAAGCTATGTTCCCACTCTCCAAGCTGCCTGCTGGGTCTTCCCAGAGAGGGTGTCCTTTTCCATCACGCTGGAGTGGACCCTCCTGCAGCCCAGGAGAGAAAGGTGTCTACCCAGCATCCAAAGAAGCCCCCTCTTCTGGGGCAGCCAAGGTAGGAAGCAGGAGGAGGACCACTTCCTCGGGTCCTGGAGCATGCCCATGCTTGGCCACCCCAGGCTTGATAATAGCAGCCACCCCTACACACGGTCGTCCCCCTGTGCCAGCCACAGGTGCTACACTAGGTCCCCTGTGAACAGACCAGTTTGGAAGAGAGCCAGGGAATGCTTTTATGCCATCTCTTCCTGGGCCGGGACAGACACTGGGCTTCCCACTTCCTCTGTAGCATCCCCCCCCCCCCGCTGCCCCCTGTAACCTCTTCCTTAGGTGCATTTTCATACTGATTTTTAATTTAACAAATGCTCATACAGCACTATTCTGCTGTTAAAGCACTGTTTAAGTACTTTAGAACTATTAGCTTATTCTAACCTTCAGACTGACCCTTGGAGGCAAGTAACATTATCCTTGCTTTCCGGGTAAGGAAACTCAGGCACAGAGAGGTAATTGCCCGAGGTCCACAGCCAGCATCGTAGAGAGTCTACTAGCCTCGCTCCAGAGTCTGGGTCAGGATCCCTAAGCTCTGTCTTCTCATTTAAGTCCTACAACCACCCAGCAAGGTAGGGATTATTCCCACCTACTCAGGACACTGAGACTCAGGTTAATTTTGCTCAAGGTCACGCAGATATAAGTGACAAGATGGCAATGGAATTCACTTTTGTCTGACCCCAAGCTGACACAGACTGATCTAACAGCTCAGACTACGGAGGAAGAACATTCTACCTTTATGAGTGTACATAGCACGAGTCCTTTCCTTAAATCTCCTGTAGCCAATCAGGAACACCCCCTTCCCATTACCTGAATTCTTCTTTCTCTTCTTCCATTTTCTTTCTTTATCTCTACCTGTCACCGTGTTTGGACCCTCTACTTGGAAGGCGAATAGCAGTACTGATCACCAAGGGCATATTGTATTATCTTTGAGTATAATAGGAGTGCTGCTAATATTTTCTTCTTTCTTTTCCAAGGACAGCGGTTTACTGTGGCTCTTTGGTGCCCAGGAAGAGCCCTGCATCAGGAGGAAGATGGTGGAGGTACTGACTATGGCTCTACCTCTTGCTTCCAAGAGAACTTGGACAAGTCACGTGACTTCTCTGATCTTCAGCGTTACCATGTAGCATCGGACAAGATCTAGGTTAGTTATTCAAATTTTTACATTTAGCTTCTTTTTTTTTTAAGTTGCAGCATATGTTGGTTACAAGAAATCTTAAAAGTACCTCCAAATACAAAAGAGGTACCGTATTTGTTAATGTATCATGGTGGCCATGGAGGGCTCTGCCGAGCTTAAGTTTGGAAATCAGTGCATTAGATAATAACAAACTGCATGATTATATGAAGCCAAGAGGATCAATATATTAGTTTCCTAGGTAAAAAAATTACCACACATTTGATGGCTTAAAACAACTGAAATGCATTGTCTCACGGTTTTGGAGACCAGAAGTTCAAAACCAAAGTGTCGGCAAGGTCACACCCACTCCAAAGACCATACGGGAGAATCCCTCCTTGCCCCCTCCTGAACTTCTGGTGGCTCTGACAACCTTGGCGTTCCTTGGCTTGTAGCTACATCACACTGATCTCTGCTTCTGTCTTCGCATGGCCTCCTCCCCTGTGTTCTGTATCTTCTCTTTCCTCTCTTCCAAGGACACATGTCATCGGATTTAGGCCCCACCTGGATAATATAGGATGTTCTCCACCCAAGATGCTTAACTTACATGTGCAAAGACTCTTTTCCTAATAAGATCATAGTCACAGGTTCTAGGGATGTGGATGTGGATGTATGTATCGTTTAGGGCCACCATTCAATCCGCTGCAATCGGTAATACCTTTTAAGCATCTAGTTATATACCAGGCATTTTGCGAAGCCTGCCAGACAACAGAGATACTTAAGATAAAAATGCTACTCCCTGGAAATCTCGAGGCTCATTTGAGAATCTCTGTTTAATTTCAGGCCTCCTCCCTCCCTTTATTCCTTTTAAAGATAGGTTTATGGAGATATAATTTACATGCAGTAACCTTCACCCTGGTTAGGTATCCACCTGATGAAACAGGCTTAGAGAGGTAAAATAATTTGCTCCAGAGTACACAGGGAGGAAGTGGCAGAATCTGGGATTTGAGCCTATGTTCCCTATCACCAGGGCTTGCGTATCAAACCAGCGGTCTCCAAGGTCTCCACTCTTTCTTTGGGTGCTTCCACCTCCTCCCCTGTCAGATGAAAAGGCTGGCAAGATGCTTTCTAGAGGATCTGAGGGCTCTGACATTGGAAACTGTCATGGTGAAGTGCAGAGAAGCACTCTTTACTCAAAGGAACCCTTCAGGACGAGGAGAATCTTCCTGAGATGGAAATTTGTATGCCTTCCAGAAGCATTTGGCTGATTTGTGTCTATGTGCTGGTTAAATGGATTTACAGCTCATGATATCTCATTTCAATTTAACTAATCCTCACAAAATGGACAAGTGATTTAAGTGGTTCCGTGAAGGAACTGCAAGCTGAAGATAATATTAATGAGGCAAACCCGAGGGACCTGCGGGAGGATGGCCGGCTGGATGCTTCTGTAACTCCTGGTGCTTTTGCCGCTTTTCAGCGAATGACTGGATAAAAATAATGGCAGTCTAATTACATCAATCACAGCATTGGTTGAAAGACTTAAAAAATTATTGAGAAGACTATTTGAAATATGGCCTTTCATCCACTGTGGTTAATGATGAGTCTCTCTTTGCATCTTGACATAACTGATGAGGGTATGAAGCCATTGCAATTAGCAAGACATTAAGAATTTTTTTCCCCAGCTGGTTAAAGGCATGATACTCAATCCAGGCCTTTACAGACTTTGGTTAAAACTCATAATTTTGAATTTATTGCTTAAGAGCAAAAGTGGGAGGCCATAATCCATTGGTCAAATGCTTGCTCCCCTTGCTATGGTAAAAAAGGGCTGAAGAAGTACCTGAAAACTACCTAGGGACACATTAAAATGGATTCCGTAGTCATTAAATATTGTTGCAAGATTCATAGACCTTGTTGCTGAAGAGTTGAAGGGACATCAAACAAATAATTCAGTGTGAGAGATTTGGTATGCACTTGGTGGAAAGTACAATAGTTCTAGCATGTTTCAGCTTATGCTGTTTCTAGATTGCTCATGTCAGTCATGAAACACATTGGAGGGCCCTTTCTTATGAGCTCTTTAAGAAAAGATGTGCCAGAAAAAAATTATGTTCTCAACAGTAACTAAATTTCTTTTTTTTAAATTTTAAATGTTTTTATTTGTTTTTGAGACAGAGAGAGACAGAGCATGAGCAGGGGAGGGGCAGGGAGAGGGGGAGACACAGAATCTGAAGCAGCCTCCAGGCTCCAAGCCGTCAGCACAGAGCCCGACGCGGGGCTTGAACTCCCAGAGTGTGAGATCATGACCTGAGCTGAAGTTGGACGCTCAGCCGACTGAGCCACCCAGGCGCCCCAGTAAATGAATTTCTTAACAAAAGCAATACTTTGGGTATGTATGTCAATTAGAGTGGAAAAAAAATTTCATGAGCTAGCACCCTATGTGAAATTTATTTACTGCTTTGTCCACAGCAAGCTATGTAAGCCAGGAAGTTTAAGCCGCAAAAGTACAGAGCACAACAGGCTCTCATTGATGTGGATTATTACATAGAGGCAAGAAGTTTAAAATATGGCAGAATCTTTATAACACTTTGTAATTAGATAGGAACTTCGCCCGGAAATATTTTATTCAAGAAGGGATTCCTTTATTCTCTTCTGGCCAAGTGTTTGAAATGGCGAGTGAACAAATTCAAGGGTTCAAATTATTTGGTCTTTTCCAGGCTGACAAGTAGCTGTCAGGAGTGAGCTATAGCAGGTACATTTGAAAAAAAAACACAAACAGTGCACTTAAGTTGTCCCCACAGGGTAGATGTCACCACTTAATAACGAGACAGTAACTGCCTTCCGAAGAAACGAGTAAGCTGTGGTGAGATGCCATCATACGTATGTGCACCAAAATGGCCAAAATGAAAAAAGATGGACAATACCAAGAGGAGGTGAGAATGTGGAGCGCTCAGACCTCCAACCTTGGCCGGAATGCAAATTCTCGGAACCAGTCAGGCAACTGTTCGGCACTGTGTAAAAAGCAGAACATAAGCAAACCCAGTGACCCAGCAATTCCACTGCAGGCATATACCTGATGGAAATTCAAACACGCTCTTGGAAAAGGTAGGCTTTGCAATGCACATAGCAACACTGTTTCTAATATACTAACACTGAAATTTATCCAACGTCCCATCAAAAGCAAAATGGATCAACTTATTGTGCATTGGCAGGAGACAAACCCCTACGTGATGAGAATAAGTGATCCATGACAACTTCAGTGATATGGATGAATCTCACAAATAAAGTTTTGAGCAAAATGAGCCCGACACACAATAAGGTGCTTCCTGTATGATTTCACTCACATGAAGTTTAAAGAAACACAACAAACAGGCAAAATGAATCTGAAAGCTAGGATAGTGGTTACCTTGGCCATGGAAATAACTGGAAAGGGCACAAAAGAGCTTTTGATAATGTGACTGCAGATAATGTTCTGTTTCTTGTTCTGTGTCTTTAGCTGGGTGTGCTCAGTTAAATACAAATACATTCATCTGTACACTTGTGTACATTTTCCTGTATGCATGTTGTTCTTGAATACAAAGGAAAAAATGATACTTTTCCCATGAAGACAGTGTTTGAGCACTGAGGGTGTGAAACATTTCCAGTGGTAGTATTGTTAAAAATGATGTGTTATAACTGAGATCTGTGTTCCTGGAAGGACTGAAACAGAATATTCTAGCCTGTTTTAAGTTTCCAAAGGTAACGTTATTGAATGTTCAACTAGTTTTTTTTTTCTTTTTAATTCCAATAAATCGTGGGGAGAATGGATTGTTATCAGGGAGTTTAGAGATGTACTAGCCAAATTTCACCAAAAACCTTTGCATAACTGGTAGATGGAATTGAAAAATGAGTATTATGACTAAGGTAACAATGCTGTGCTTCTTTCGTTTGAATTTACATGTCTCTTCCAGTAATGACAGGCACTAAAAGCAAGTGTCAGAACAAACTGAATTTAGGACCAAACCATTAATCACTATGTCATGCAGATTAATCCAAGATTGAAAAAACTGAGAAAAGCATATTCAAAATCATATTGGTCTCACTAAAAGAATTTTTATTATATCAATAATTTTTCACGAAAGCAAAAAAGTTCTTAAGAGTCGCTAAATAAAATAAAAATTAATAAAAATTCTTTAATTCATCTTGATTTCAACCTTTTAAATTGACATTTTATGTATATTTTATAATATTGATAATATATTAGAATAATAATATGTATAGATAAATTAAAAATATACATGCATGCACTGAAAGTCTGTGCTTGAAGTTTCATTGTTGATAGGGTGCTCAATCAGAAAAAAGCTCAGAGACGGTTGGTCTCCACCAGCAGTTAGCCATTAGAAACAGGTTATTTTAATTGATATGGGTGAGGAACCAAAGAGATGAAGTACTGAATTCTCAACGTGCCACTTACTGCCAAAATGTGCCAAAATCTGTGATTCTGAGCAATCAGTCAATGTACCTGGATCTGGGTGTTCTCGTTAGTAGAACAGAAAGTTAGCCCCTGTTGGAAAAAGTTTGTCCAGGTAATTAAATGAGTCAATATACGTAAATTTCTTAATACCTTGAGTGGCTTATGGAGGTTAAATCAATAGTCACTTCTACTGTCACATAGTCATTTACTAGTGTTTTCCAAACTTGCCTCATGATAAGGATCTTCTGCATGCTTAGGAAAATGCTTGGGTCTACCTCAGATTTTCTGAATTAAAATCTTCATGGGTAGAACCTTGGAGGTTGTATCTTTAAAAGGCAATTTTTATGGCCAAGCAAGTTTGAGAAAGACTGATTTACAAGGTGCTGAAGCTCTCTTCCCTTTAATGATTAGCTCCATGCATGAGTCTTACCTCATAAGAGCCAGAAACTCTCATAGGACCATCTCTGTCCTGCACAGCATCCAGCAGAGAGCTCTATAACCCACTGGGTGGAGAAGGCCAAGGTGAGCGCTCCATGTCTGGGCTGATAAACAAAAAATGGGTCCTAGTTGGACCCATTGGACCCACTGGAGAGACTGGGAGAGGCAACAGGCTGACATGTCTGCAGGAGAGGGGCAGCGTGAAGAAGTAGGAGGAACTTCCCCCTTGGGCTTGGGCTCAGAAGTAGGACTAGTTCCTTGGGGGGCTAAGTGGGAGATGCTGGAGGGAAAGCATGGGGCCTAGGCACACCGGGAAGGCTCTGAGTCCTAAGTCCTATGTCCGAGGTGGGAGCTGGCCACAACTGACCGATAAAATTAGACAGGTCCAGGATGGGATAGATATGGTGCTTTACGTTTGACCTTGTTGATGAAGATCCACACATTCCATTCCCATTGACTTAGGAGAGACTGGTCCTTGAGATGGAGGCTTGTCCTGTGCATGAGGATCGAGCAGGCTAGAAGCATAGGAGGTGCTTGCTTATTCAGGCTGGCCTATACTCGGTGCTTAATAAATGCATGCACATTCAGCATGCAGTTGGGTAATCCCACTGAATCGTCTCTTGCCATTTTGTCTTCTGTGCATCCAATTTTCTTCCCCGTTCTTCTCCCTGCCTCCGCAAGGAAGATCGTCCCGGGTGGGCAGCACTCTCTCCTGTGTTTGCTCTTCCCTAGCACAGACGCTCTGCTGTGTCCTGACAGCCCTGAGTTGCCCTCAATTTGAAGGTGTGGATAATTAAGCTAATGAACACTTTTCCACTGGCTGCTGAAAGCCTCATTAATCTACACACATGTTGCCACAGGCAAATTATGGCGTCAAGGGTGGGAGGATCAACAAAAATAACTTCAGAAATTCATTAATCAGACTTAGTCAAGCTCGCTGTTTGGAACGGGGAGTTCTTATCCAGCCGTGGCCAGAGGATCAGATTTTTTTTTTTTTTCCCAGCTACATGAAAGGGACTTCTTAAGCAATATTTCGGAACATCTAGGTTATTGTACTGGTATTTATGACTCTAGTGGTTGATGCTAATGAAATCTGTCCGAAGACTTCTGTGTGGAGGATTCGAGAAATGCTGAGTGGATGGTCAGGTTTCCAAGCACACAAGAGGGAAAATATGATCACAAGATCAAACGTAAAAACATACCTAGCTCTGATGGAAGTGGTTCAGGCCACCAAATAGTCATTTTCTCCCCAACATTTCACAGGTGTCCTTGGAGTCATTTGGAGCTGGTGACTCCTTCCTGTTAATGGATGGTGAGCAGGGGCAAGATCTGGCATGCCTCCATGGCCGACTCAGAGCCCACCGTTCTAGATGGCAAAATAACAAGATGGGGAACTGCTTGACCCATATGGGATTCACAGGCATGAAGAATAAAGTATATGATAAGCCATGGAGATCTCTTACTTATCTGTTAATCAGCAGAGTCTGTTGCCTCCTGGTCTATTCACCAACCACTTAAGGCTAAGGGTTGTTTTTTTCGAATATGGTGATTAGATTAGTTGTCTCATATCCTCATGAGCAGAGAGTCTGGATTGCAGCATGGCCTTCAACAGGCTCTTCTATGGATAAGTTGGGGTCTTTTTCAGACATTTGGGGTCATGGGTGCCGGATGATAAAATAGTTACATGGATTCTAAGCTTCCTGAATAACCATTTACCCTAAAAGTGCTCGTTAGCAAATTAACGTGAGCCTCAGGAGAGATCTCTACTCAATGTTGTTCAACAGTTTAATCGGTGACTTGGGTGTGCCACTGAGAAGGGAAACACACTGAGGGTCTTGACTGACAGAGTCAGAACTCAAACTCTGGCAGTCGAGAACAATGGGCTTCATATGACACGATGGGAGAAAAGCATCACATATGAATATGAGACATGAGATTTGAACGATAGCATCACAGGAGAGGAGGCGTGAATTTGAAGAGCATTTTGAAAATAGCTGTGAGTAGGCTAGTAACCAGGGCTCGAGACCAACTAAGGGTCCTCTAAGCTCTAATAATCTCTTATTCCCCAATACTCTCTCTACCTACAGACCTATTTAGGAGAGTGGAAAGTGGGTGAAATGGGGAGAGAAAAGAGAAAGAACACATGGTCTGGGATTCAGTTGACAAGTCTCCAAATCCTTTAATAAATTTGAAGCCAGGCCCTTCAAAGTTGGCATTGAAAGGAGAATCTTCGTGAAGAATCTTCGTGACTGACCTTAGGGGACATGGATTTGATATATTAAGATGGCCAGGAGCTCCTCTCACTGCTTGAGGTAATGCGAGACCACAAGCCCAAAGTTACTTTTGGGGACTTAGGAAATCTCCTTTGTACATCAAAGTTACACCAACTCAGAAGCTCTGTAAACACAAAGAGGATCTGAATTCGTTGGAGGTCCTGATCCTGGTTGAAGTTTCTGGTGGCTTTCCTCAGTCACTGTCGTTTAGTGACACTCTATCTTGGACAAATACAATAGTAATAAACAACTAGAATCTTGGGCTTTTTTTTTTCTTAGAATTCTAAAGGTCACATTTCCCTCTTCCATGTGCTTACAGTGTTTGATGTTGTGGTGGTCATGCCCCATTGAGAAGAAAGCATTCTCTTAGAAAAGGTGTGAAGAATAGGGAACCAAAACACAGTGTCCCTGTCTCCCTGGGCTCCACAACTGGGGTCTGTGACTAAGTGTGCACACGGGTTTGAAAAATGAGCTCAGAGGTGGACAGAGAAATTCTAGATCGCAAATACAATAACCCACAACAAAACCAGACCGCCTCCAAAATATCAACCTACAAAACATCAGGAAAATAAACCTCTAAGTCAGAGACACAGTGAAAGGTAATTGTCCTAATTCTTCAGTGAAATTTGGCACGGCTGGTTGAGTCCCAGTATAAAGGCAACCCATTGGTCAGGAGAATTTTGGAAGGCCATTGGTTCCCTTTTGTGTTCAAATGATGGGCATTGATGGAAGGAAGATGTTTCCCCTTGTAATGGAGATGCTTGGGAAAATTCTCAAATGGGTGGAGCCCATGGCAATGTCTTGGAATGGTTAGGATGTATTTTTCCTTCTTGTGGACCCCAGATGAGATGAGAGGTCATGGCATCGCTCTGCAGCCAGGAATGTCAAGTCTATAGCACCATTTCCTGAAGACTGGCTGTGTCCCTGCCCACACCAGGGGCTAATGAATACCAGACAGGGAGCCCTGGCTTAAGGCCCTTCTGTTCAGGAATGCTGCTTGCTTCCTGCCTCTAGATTGAGGCAAAAGCATCCCTTTTGTTTTCCAAATTAGATGAAAGAAGATTGTGATTGGATTTTTCATGGGCCCACAATTTATGCTTCAGGAACGTGACTGAACGACTATGCCCTCTATCTCCCCCCTCCCCCTCCCCCCACGCTATGCCTTTGCTGGAGCATGTGCAGTAATCCCTTTATATCCTCCTCGGCAAACTGCAGGCAAGCCCTATCCCCCCCCCCCCATCCTGGGGGGGCCCAGGGCCAGGCATTGCTGGGGTTCAGGACTGCACAGGCATCGAGTACCATGCCTTTAGCAAGAGGGCTAGAAGCAGTGTGGGAAATATTAAGCACTACATTTGAGAGGGAGCAAGGGGCATGTGACATGTGTGACAGGTACCCTTTGCATGGTGTTCTAGTATTTTCCTTTCCAAGTTTGGGGACCTTACAAAAGCTACTTAATTCAGGCAGCCTGAATGGTATGCCTGCAAGCAGAGCAAGGGATTGTGGCCATGGCCTTCACCTTGGGTCTTCAGTGGGGTCAGTGTGATGTACTTGTCATGCTTGTGTTCTTACTTCAGTTCTGCCCCTTCCCTTTGGACATTATTGCTTTTAACCTCACTTTCCTTACCTGTAAAATGGGAATGCTATCAAGGAGGGGTTGCTGTTGAGAACATCGTCTGTTGTTATATATTTGAAGCACCTTGCTTGGCCCCTGCATATGGCTGACACTCTCTTTCTCTCACTCCTGGCTCCGAAGATTTGTGCTATCCTGCTCAGTGCAAATGTATGGAGTTTGAACTTGAAGAAATTAAGGAAAGTTAGGGATGTACAGCCTCCTCCTTTTACAAATGAGGAGAGACCGAGGTCAGAGAAGTTAAGCCATGTTCCCAATGTCATGGCACTCAGGTCTTGACTTTTTATCTAGCGATTGTTCTATGGTTTGATCTTCTTCTGAGATTGTAGAAGCCACTAATGCGTCAGTGTTTGTGAGCAAGACAATCGTACAAAGTAGAAAAGACCAATCAGAAGTATTTGTCCACGTTCAAGCATAGCTATGTGCATGCCCGGTGGTGGGGCTGATGATGGGTTGTCAGTAAATTAATTGCTGAAGATGTCTCAGAAGCATGACTTCCTGGGGACAAAAGCAGACAGGGAAACTTCTGGGTACTCCTTAGGGCTGGGCAATAGTGCAGAAGACACAAAGAATGTTAACGAGGCAGTTAAGAGTTACCCGGGGGTATTCCCCCAGGGAGATGGAGCCCCTGGTTCTGCACAAATGTGTATTAGCAGTTGAATATGGGTGATGTCCTTCAAAGTAACCAATATGCTCCACCACCCTCGTATTAATCCAGTTGGGCCTGGGATGGATGGGATATTTCAGCTAACTAAGACATCCTGACTCACTGAGAGTCACCCTGGGGAACATAGGTGCTTATACAATTCCAAGGATTCCACTCCTGATTTAGTATTTTTTGGATGATTCAGAAAGTCTTCCAGGAGGTAAATGTGTCTCTAAGGTCACAACAGTGAGCACTTGTCCTAGTGGGTGGCCCATAGAGGGAGTAGGTGTACATAGATAGGCAGACCTTACCAAGGGTGAGCTCTGAAGTTCACTGGATCGAGGTCTAGGATGTTCGTTATTACATCTCCATTGGAATGACAACTCCCATTTGAGCATGCTCTTTACAAACCATGCCACTGTGAGATTGTCAAAGCATGCACTGTAAGCCCCACTTTATTATTAAAAAAATTTTTTTAATGTTTATTTTTGAGAGAGACAGAGTGTGAGTGGGGGAGGGGCAGAAAGAGAGGGAGGGAGACACAGAATCTGAAACAGGCTCCAGGCTCTGAGCTGTCAGCGCAGAGCCTAACGTGGGGCACAAACTCTGGAATGGCGAGATCGTGACCTAGGCTGAAGTCAGACGCTTAACCAGCTGAGCCACGCAGGTGTCCCATGTTAGTCCCACTTTAAATGAAGAATCTGAGGTGAAGTGCTTTGCTCAAGTTCATGGAGTGGGAAAACATCTCATCTGGGACAACCAGCAGGATCTCTTGACTCCTGATCCAGGGCTCATCCTTATACCTTGTGATGCCTTTGACAAATGCAGAGGGCTATTTGGATCCTATGAAGTATCCAGGCAACAGATACGATCTACTTCTTTAAGTCTGTGGATCTGTTTTAGAACCCTGCAGCCATCCCTTAAGTAGAGTCTCTAATGAAAGCCCCAACAGTATTCACAATAAAAGTGAAAAAGCTTAACATTTAAAAATTACAGTAATACAGGGGCGCCTGGGTGGCTCAGTCGGTTGAGCAACCTACTTCGGCTCAGGTTATGATCTCACGTTTTGTGAGTTCGAGTCCCACGATGGGTTCTGTGCTGACAGCTCAGAGCCTGGAGCCTGCTTCGGATTCTGTGTCTCCCTCTGTCTCTGCCCCTCCTCCACTCATGCTCTGTCTCTCTCTGTCTCAGAAATAAATAAACACTAAAAAAATTTTTTTGATTACAATAATACAGATTTATTGTTGAAATTTTAATAGTTACATATATGCAAAAACATACTTATAAAATTCAAATCACATGTAATTCTTTTTTTTTTAATGTTTATTTATTTGTGGGAGAACATCAGAGCATGAGCAGGGGAAGGGCAGAGAGAGGGGGACAGAGGATCTGAAGCAGGCTCTGTGCTAAAAGCAGTGAGCCCGACGCAGGGCTCGAACTCACAAACCATGAGATCATGGCCTGAGCTGAAGTTGGATGCTTAACCAACCGAGCCACTGAGGCACCCCAAGTCACATGCAATTCTATTATCCAAATGATCCACATACTTCTGCAGTATTTCTAATTTTTCCTTAAGTGCAGAATTCTGTTTCTTTTTATATCTTTGTGATTGTGTTTATTATTTTGTATTCTGAAGCTTCATTTATTTCCGATGACCTTTTCTTCATATGATTAAATATCTTTAGATATATTTTTAATGACTGCCTCGTGTAGGTATGCCATAGCCTCTCTAACTCAATTCCCGATTTTGAATGTTTAGATTATTTACACTTTTTGTTAATATAAATTACACTGTTGCAAATGATGTCACTTACAGATCTCTCCATATAATTTTATAGAACTCTTTATATAACTGTCTTATTACCGGCTTTAGACAAATTCCTGAAAGAAGCATTTTGAA